TCGTTTTTTTTTTTTTTTTTTTTTTGTTGACACTTCTCTCAGCATATTCTTCTATAAGCAGCTCCTTAACTGGTCCAACCCAATACAACATAGAAACAGCTTTAAGAAAGAAAGCATTGCAAATACTGATCGCAGATTATTAGGATTACTTGCTAACCATCTAGCATCGGAAACTAATATCTATCAGTTACCCTTTAAATACTAGAAACAGAACATTAATATATTAGAAGAAATAAATTCAAGTCCCCTAATATCTCAGATATATCAGATCATAGAGAATGGTCGTCCAACATGGGGAAAAAAAACATCAACGGAAACTCTAGATTGGTCATCCTGATTCCTTACCACTAACTTCAACAAGGACACCTTTCTCAATTGATAAGCTTCATAAATAAATCAGATAACTGACAAATTGCAGAAGATAAATCAGCCTAACTAAATATTGAAATTCCTCCTTTTACAAAGCTCATGCCTTGAACCTAAGATCTCTCCCTTTTTGCTCCCCTAAAGTTTTGGTTGGTAGGAGGAACCGGAGGCAGAGGGAATAGAATTGGATGGAAATAGGGAGAAGTTTCATTCCCTTGATCGTTTACCAGTTCCTTTTTTGGGTGAAATTACTGTAGTAGGCGGATCGTATATATGCCACATCAGGATAGTTTCAAGGGTATGATTCCACCTCAAGGGATGAAAATACCGCTGTACAAGGGAACAAAACTCTCATTCCCTTCGAAATCCTTCCAAGCACAAATTTTGGACCCAAATGCACTTCTCATTTTAATTTATCAAACAATTCGTTTGGTATTTTGACTCCAACCCTGGTTGATAGATTCGGTCTCTAAATTAAATCCTCTGATCCTCAATACCGAACTACTATTATCATTCCTATTAAACAATATGCCAGAATTAACTCCTCTAACCAAACAAGCTTCTCTAGATTGGAGGGCGTACCACATTTGCAAATGAAAAGAAATAGAAAGAATATCAACAGGTAAACAAAATCAATAGGATGGAAGACCAAAAAAAATTTGCAATTTTTCCTTTCAAATCCTAGCTACAAATGAATAACATGTCATTTAGATTCTGATTTATAAAAAAATTATCACATAGCATTACAATACAAACTGACGCAAGCGACATACTGTAGTTTAGGTTTCATGCCCAGGTTGTATGCAAACTAAGTAAAATGCATTTCTTGAAAGTAGGTTTATTCCTTGAACACATAAACTGAATTGGGTTTAGATTGCACTACATGCAAGAAGTCAATCCCTTTTCCACCAAACAAAGAACCGAAGAAGAACCAAACTAATTCCCCAACCAAACAATTGAAGAAAAATACAAAAATAAAATTCTCAAAGGGGGAAAAAAATCTAATCATCAACAGGGACATCCCCAACATTTGCTTACTAACAACACAATGTGTACGGATCAAACATAATGCCCAATGACAAACAAACCCATTACTCTTCTAACAAAATAAGAGAGACCCATTACTCAAAACTAAGTAAAAAAAAAAAGCATTGCGTCCATTGAAATTGTGAATCGATCTATCAAGAAATTGAAATCGAGGGGGATGATGATGATGATGATACCATGATGAGAGTAAGTGTAGGCCGCCCTCCAAGTGTAGATGTGGTCTCCTGACTTGATCTCTGATCTCTCTATCTTGTTCGAGAGAAGACCCATCTCTCTCTCTCTCTCTCTCTCTCTCTCTCTCTCCTCTCACTCAATAATATTGTGCTTACTTCCTCTTGGCCTCTTTAATCAGCAACCGGTGGATTGGAGACCTGGGTTGATTTCAGAGAGACCAGCCTCCGATTGATATTGCTACTCTCCTTTGTACTCCACCCGCGCCCTTTATTAAGGAACAGAGCTCTCCGTGTCAGGGTGAGGGTGGAATTTTATGAATTCAGGGTAGCAGTATAACGTGCATTTTATAACGTTTTGGGATACCAGAAGCAAAGCTTCATATAAAATTGTTAATACGATAGGTATATCTTCTTGCTCTAGAGCTAGGTTTTTGTATCACGCGCGGTAAATTTTAGATTTGGAGATTAGTTACTCGAATTTTATGGGATATTCTATATCATTTTCCACCTCGATTTGGAAAATAAGTTATCAAAAGAAAAGAATGATATGATCAAGATGGTTCAATGTTGATTAGTAGAAGGGAGTCGCTGGCCAATCTTTTAGTAAGCACGTTTTTTAAAATAAATTGCGAAGTTCTATCTTTTTCCCCCTCATAATATATATATATTTAGAATATTAAGATTATTAATTAGATGGTTGCTTGTTTTTTCAATATTGTCCCTCTATTAAGTTGTATAAATTTTTAGGGTGTATTTGAAAAAAAATTTAAAACGTTGACTAACGTGAGTGTAGAACACTAAAAAAATAGCTTCTCTTGGATATTAGTAAACAATAATAAAAGTAAAGCTACTATAAACTTAGAGTGCTGCTACGGGGACCCAAAATATGGGACCAAGGGAGGGGACAGGTGAGGTGTCCCCAATCATTTTCCATAAACTTAAGTGGACTGGAGTACTTGTTCACCAATTTTTTATCTATTCATTATGTTTTAAGATTTGTGCTACACATTAATGATATCTATGATATTTGTGGCTTCATCTGTATCACATACTAGCACAAATCTCAATGCAAAATTAATAGATAGAAAAGTTGATGGACAAATAGCTCATATCCACTTAAGTTTCTAGAAGATTTACTTATATTAATAGATAATGAAAAATTCCTCAAGGATCTAAAATATGGAACCAATAAGAAGGGGACACCTCACATGTCCCCTCTATTGCTCTTATATTTTGAGTCCCTGTCGCAAAGCTCATAGATAATAGATGATGACTATTTGAATATCCAAGATTCCCTAATGACGAATGGTTAGGTGACTTAGTTGTCGCCTTCTTATCCGATAATATATATCTGAGCTCAGCACCTCTAACTCACCTAATCATGTTGAAAAAGTTTTTGTTGTTGCTCTAATTAATAATTAGCATCATTAGTAAGTAGCGCCAAAAGACCCAACCTTTCCCACATTTGTCGTAGGAAAACAACAGGAGCAATAGCATAGCATGAACCACACAACATTTACCTCATCTTTGTAGTAAAAATCTAACACCGAAGGACAACTCAGGTAAAATATGACACTCCCCTAAATGAAGAAACGTTCTATAAAAATAAAAACCACCCAAAAATCTTCCCAAACTTGAACCTAAAAATAACTCATAGACCAAACAAGCATAGAAAGCAACAAAACCATCACATTAATTTTGAACCCCTGCGGCCAATGGATCGTTCAACAAATCTGAAACACACATGAAACACTGATGAAACTGGCAAAAGGTTGAAGTTGTGATGCATCTCAAAAGGGCAAATTTCTAGATGACATAAAGTATAGCGAGGACTGTAATAAGCACAGTTGAATAAGAAAACCATGTCACAAAAATGCTACAGCTTCAAGAGCTACAGATTATCTCCACCTTCTCAACTATCGCAACAACAATTAAGGGGTCATTACTCCCTTGCTGAGATAAATTCAAGAATACAAAACATCGTGTTTGAAACTCCGAAAAAGATCAAGCAGTCAAAATACCAGAAGAAATGGAAGGATAAGGACTATCATGCAGACAGCTGAAATCTGCTAAATAGAAAGAGTAGGATGGATAAATCAAGCATTGGCGGAAAAAATTCTGACCCGGCATTTTTACAGAAATTGGCAAGGAATGATAAACAAAGCGAATTTCAAAGAACAAATATTTGTAAAACATATACTCGTAATATAAAAAGAAGAAAGGATAGTACCCACTGTGGTTATTAGTTTCAATCCATGCTGTAATAACCCTTCACACTAAAAACTAACTCAAAGCAAGAAAAATTAACAGAGTTCCTTAAATACATCAATCACATGATAGAATCATTATGATATGTAAGCAATTACTGAATGTACCAATGGTTGAAGCCTTGCACGTGCTCCCTTCATCACAACCACTGATATAGATATCAAAGGTAGTGAAGGTATACATGTCGGAGGATCAAGGAATAACAACCAGAACATTAGCTACTGAAGTCGTCTAAGTAAGATCACCTTTATTACTTTAGTCTTAATTTTCAGTCAAAAGTTTGTCATAATCCTAGTTTAGTCTTTAATTTCATTTGAGTTTTCCCCTATAACCCTGTCCAAGGCAAGATAAAATCAAGACTTAGACGCAGTCATATAACCCCTATTGAATAGGAGTGCAACTGGTATATATGTTGTTCCTAGTTCAACTCGAAATGGAATCTACCTCAAACCCCCAACACACACACACACACACACACACAGAGATGCAAGCGCGTGCATGCACACACACAAAAATCAAGCCAACAACTTGCATTGTGTTTAAAAAAAAGTGTACAATTAGGAGACTGATATTAACAGTTTCCATAGAAAATCTCGCGTCTCGGGTTCTAACTTCAAACTTGACGACCTAAACTACATTTATAATTTTACTGTGAAGTAAGATATAGAATGCAACAAGATCTGAAGAGAAGAAACACGAAAAAACACAAAAACTACTAATCTTGACAATTTCAACTCTAATCGCAAACCCAAAATAATGTTGGTCATCATTTTAAGCAGCTATATACATTTATCAAAATCAAACACATTTTCTTTAAAGGACATAATATTGTAATATCTGAAAGTTAGCTCCAGGCCATGAAGGCTAGAATTGAAGAGATATCCGATCTTAAAAACCTATATCACTTGTTTGTTGAGCTTTCTAAACTTTGAGATGTGATCCATGACCAACCCCATCTTGGTGAGAAAAGGTGTAATAATAATTAGGGGTACCTTGACAATACCCGCATACAAGCTATATTTACAAGAGTGAAGATCTGTGATGATTGCAGACAGAAACCTAACTTGAAAAAACAAGGTTTAGATACTTGCTACACGAGATGATGCTGAGGTTTTGTGAATAGGAAAGAAATACAATGTGAACTCTTATATAACAAAACCAAGTAAATAATTCACATCAACCCATAAACTTTACACAAATTTAACATGACCTTAAGAAAGCAAATATCATATTCTTTTAAGTGACTAATACAACTAGGATTCTTATGGATTATTAAAAAAAATATCTTGCAATACCTTGAACTATCTTATCCATTCAATTGTCTAATAGCAAGGGATGTACAAACAAGTTAAGCTTGGAGAAATATATTCAAATAAAGGAGTAGTTTTCTCTCCAAACAACACAATCATCCCCAAAAGTATAAATGTGTAGCATACAATCGTCACAACAGAAAGATAAAGAATGTATTCACCTTACAAACAACTGCAACGGTTTGAGCTGAATAATTAAAATATATATGCACTTCCTGAAACAGAAGACTTCAACAACTTTGCAAACAAATATATACTAAAACAAACTGACTATTAATTCGTAAAAATTTTCACAAATTTCACATAATCTTAACAACAGCCCTACTTTTCATCAATGGGAATGTAATAATTATGAAGAAAGTGTCATATTTGAAGGTTTGTACAGAATACCGTAATCAATGAATGTTTTTACTCTCTACATCTCCATCATGCTGGACTAATTTACAGGCTCTAAGCAGAATCATGAAAATTAGCTTCCTGATCTTCTAACTTTAATGATATACAACCGATTAAGCAAGTTGCAGATATCCAAAGAATAAAAACACAGTTCTCACTCAAAATTCACGATTACCCCCAAACTTCAATGCTCGGTTAGAATAACAAAATGGACCAGAACATGAATGCATTCATCTTATACACAATTGGCGATAGTAGTAGCACAATAACACAAACATATCACGTGCATATTCACAAACATATCGAACAAATTGTCGAAACATTAAGAACACATAATAGGCAAAAGTTCGAAAAATTCAACGAACGGTTATATATACAAGAACAATAACAATCAATTACACCAGTCATATTAACACACCATCCATTACCCAATTTAACTACCAGTTCTCCTTTATGATCTTCGATTTCTCAAGTATGAATTTACCTTCTTTGTACTTCTGGGTCTCCTCATAAGCCCTCTCATACTTCCAACCCAGCACCTGTCGACAATCGCAGCAGTAGATATCGGCCACCGTGTGGAGCCCGGTCATGAGCTGCCGATCTTCTTTAGGCCCCATGGTTATGTTCATTGCATGAGAGAAGAGAAAAGCTCTTCCATTTCTCCCCTAAATCAATTCATTGAATCAAGAAATGCTATAAGAACTCAACCAAGGGGTAAAGTACAGAGAAAAGAAAGAAATTTCACCTGAAAAGCTTTAGAGATAACATCATCATGAAAGCAGACATGATTCCTGCAGTTGCTGCAGCTGTAGAGTCGAGGACCAACCAATTCCGCCATCAACTACAAGCCCAAATCAAATCCTTACCTGAAACAATCAAAATCATCAAAAATCAATCAGATATTTGAAGAAGAAAAATACCCAAAAACCCAATAAAGGTTTTGAAGAGAGAGACCTCTTGCGGATGGGAATTTTGCGCCTAATCGGTTGACTTTGTTTCTCCTTTATCTCAGCACCTTTTTTACTAGTGAGAGAGTAATAATAGACGTTTAGACAAAATGATGAAAATAAAAAAAAAATGCTCCCAAAAGAAATCAACAATCAAACAAGGATAGGGGAAAACTTTGGGCCGACGGTGACAGGGTTGAATGAAGTAGAGTAAAGAATCAGGGCACCCAGAATTAAATTGTACCAAAAAAATCAATTAATTAATCAGAAAATGGTATTTTATTCATGAGAGAGCACTCGGATTACTGTTGGGAAAACCCAGATGTGTGCAAATCTCTGATTCCTTGCTTAAACGACAAGTAGAGGGATTAGTTGAGATTTTGTACTCGGGAAAAAATAATGGGCATACGTAGCTTATTTATGTGAAAATATTGCAGAATTTATGAGGGTGTTTGGGAGGACTAATTATTTTGAAGTTCATAAGTTAAGTTGGCTTTTGTGGCTTTTAGTTTTTTTTGATAAATATATTGTAAACATTATTTGGGTAGAATAGTAATTTCTTTGGTCAAACCTATCTTATTTAGGTGAGCTTATAAGCTAATTTCTCAAAAGCTAGGGTATACCACTTTTTTATACCAGCTTTTTAAAATGAGGCTCATAAGCCAACTTAATTTGGTATTTTACCACACAACTAGATATGAAAAAACTAACTCAAAAACTAGTTTGACAAAAAAATAAACTCCCCCAAACACTCTCTTAGTCTTTTCATGTCATCTGCAGTTTTTTGGACTGAAAATGCTCCTCGATTTGTTCTTTCTTGCTTAGCTATGAACCTTGTTTCGTTTAGACTCAATAGTAAAGATCCGTATTTCATCAAAATAATAATAATGATATATGTTAGCTTATTTAGTAGAAAATAAAATGCAAGTTTAAAAATGAGAATGAGATATAAGAGGATATGGTGGTTTATTTTTCTGGAAAAAAAAATGTGCTCCACAATTTTACCCACATGCAAAAATCCGCAATTTATGTTATTTATGGGGTTTCCTGATAAAATCTTGAAGTTAGAGAGGTTTTGAGATAACCCCTAAACCCAAAGGGGTTTTATCATATTGTGAAAGCTATGAAGGATTATCTGGCAATTGTCCAACATGAAGGGGGCTTCTCTGCTATTTAGCCTTTGAAAAAGAACAAACTGAAAAGTTCTGTAAAGAGTTTCCGCTGAAACTTCAAGAGTTTTATTGGCACAGAGTTGCATAATATCAATCAAAGAATTAACATTATGAGTAATTGGGTTCTGATGAGAAGTATAATATTGTGCGTGTCACAAGAATCACTGGATATTTTCCCTGGGAATGGAGTATAAAGAACAAAAAAGGATTTCTTGACTACACAAGTTAGAATGTAGCTTGATCTAAGCAGCATCAATGAGTCGTTCATTTGGATAATTTCTTTTCTTGTCGATATTCGGTCTAAAAAAATGTGATGATTTAGCCTACCAAAACTTAAAGCCTATCATATTAGAATATTTTGAAAATGCACTAGTTTGTAAACCCTTATTGAATATTATCGTGTTTGCCTTACTTTATACACTTTATCTAAATAATTAATTACATTTAAAATGGTCAAAGAAATTATTCTATGACGTAGCGGCAAAAACAAAGAAGCCTTACCACGACGACTTCTTCCGCAAACTCAAGAAAACACACCAAAACTTTCTTCAAGAGAAGTTTTATTTAATTCCAAGATATTCCCATTTGGGTTACATGACTCTTTTCAAATAGAAAAACAAACAAGACTTCTAGTAAGCCTAGAATTACAAAGAAAAAGAAAGTATCAAATCATACCCTAAAAAAACTCTCTATCATAGAGGAAACAGATCATGAATCAAAACTGAATCTGTTTCCTAATCTAATTTGACTCTAACATTGAATTTATTTCCTAATCTAAATTGACTCTAACTTTATTAGTAAAAATAAACTAAAAACTAGTTATTTTCGAATTTCAACCAAAAATGGGTACTACTGAGGACACGTAGCTCTTCTACACAACCCCGTCACTAAAAATTTTCAAACAAACTTATCACTTCAGTTTTAACTGATAGAGGGACTATTGGTTTAAATATTTCAATTATGCACTTTGATGCTGTACGTTTGTCACCTTTTTGAACTTTAATGCTCCAAATCTTCATTTTAAATTGGATAATTTTACTTCAATGTTATAAAGTTATCATTAGATATGAAAGTTTTGTGCCTCAAAGTGTCAAAAATAAACTTTATGACATTAAAATTATAAAAGGTGACAAATTTATGATGCCAAAGTGCAGAATATCCACATGCTCATTAATAACTACCTTCTAAGTAATTTATACGTTTGAAAATACTCTAATGAAAGGGCTAGATATCAGTTGAGGAAAGTCCAAGGTTTATGTTTCGCAAATAGTAAAGAATTTCAGCATGTCTTCTGAAAAACATTATGGTAACACACTATTTTCTAGAATTCACTCTTCATGACCATATGATGTCTAGAAATAAAAGTGACCACTTTATAAAAACCGGGGAGTTATATATCATTAGGAAATTCCAAGAACAGTTACAAATGGTTCCATGCATAAATTGGCCCCACTCTAGATGTAGTTCACGGGGGAAAAGCGTCAAGTGTATCTTGTCCATGAATTAAATGTGCACCAAATGAATGTCAGTCATTAGATTATTGGAGTGTACAGATCCAAGGGCTGACATCCTTTGGATGTACATTTAATGTAACATGCCGTCCGATGTTTTATTGGCGGCACAACTCATGTTCTTCCGGTTGCATGAGTCACGCGTGGCGTGCTGCTCCTATGCTTTTTATTGTGAGCGTTTTTAGGAGAAGAGCACAAAGAAGAGAAGGGTGAGAAGCAATTGAGATAATGGCACTGTTTGGCAACCAAAAAAAGTGTCTTATCTAAGAGCTTGTGTCTTATTGACTTGGTCAATAAGCTAGTAGAGCTGTTTGGTGACAAAAAATATGAGGAGATTATCTTGGAGATTGTGTCTTTTGCAAGTAGCTTTTGGAAAGCTACCTCAAGTAGCGTTTGTCTTTGGGAAGGAGCTGCCAATTTTTTTCTTCCGTTTTTGCCCCTAATAATTCTAATTTTATATCAATAATATTGCATGTATTTTTTAGTCATTTAACAAATTTAAGCTAGTTGTACAGCTACTTTTGCCAAACAGCTCTAGTCAATCAGCTAGCTACACAGCTAACAGCTTTCAGCTATAATTTCACAACTTTCAGCTAGCTTAACAGCTTTCAGCTATAATCTCGCAGCTTTCAGCTGCTTTTGCCAAACAGAGCCAATAAGAGGGTAGCAGAAATAGAGAGGCACATTTGAATAAAATTTTTGAAGGAAAGAATGAAAAATGGCAAAAAAGTAAGCTTACATCTCTTTTCTATCGCTCCAACGGGCAATCAAACATATAAGAAAATGAATATCAGGTTTGAAATTTAAGATTATGCTTAAACTTATAATGTTAGTAAATGAAGTAGTTTTAACACTTATTATCTCTCTTGAAATAATAAATGAAGAAATTGAGGGATTGCTTTGGACAAAAATAAGCGAAGAAGAAGATGGAGTATCGTATATGGGTATTTTGTTCTTCTTCTCTTAGATTTATGCCTTTGTTTTTTCTTTACTTATTAGGTATTTTCTTCAACTTTAGTCTTTACACTTGAGTAATACCAACTTGTTTAATAAAATAATAAAACAAATATTCATTTTTAAGGAAAAAAACATAATAAATATTCATGTATAATTGCAAAGTCTTTCTTTAAGCTTAAGTTCGAAGTACATGATCCTTTTTCTCCCCTATCGATTTTCTAAGAATGTTCGATATACTACAATCATGAATCTTTCTTTTTCTAAGTGAATCATCTATGTTATTCTCTTGTTAGATTAATCAACTCCATTAATATTGTTATTCTTCTTTATATGTCCCATTTTTTATTTCTCGCTTTGTTATTTTCTATCCCTTATCTTTGATATTGCTACTCCTTTGCAATGCATTTTGTCAAAAGGATATAAATTTAGTTAAAAAAAATAAATAAACCATAAATAGATTTCAGTAAGGTAATGAAATGAAAAGAAAACATGTTAAAATTTCCTATGTTTTTTCGCTTGCGTGTTATGATTATTATTATGATGTAAATGAGCAAAAAATAGGAAACAAGGGAGGGAAAAAAATTCCCTGGATTTTCTAGAAGCTGAATATCCACCGTCGATTAAGAGAGCCGAGGGCTCAGATCTCCGTCCACGTCGACCGTAAGCGTTAAGTTTGAGCTCGAGGGTTTTATTCCAAGTGTAGCATTCCCACCGCCTAGGGCTCATCCCCGGTCTTTTCTCGTTCCTCTCTCTCGACTTCAATCTCCTCTCTCTTTATATCGTTGCAATTATTAGGGTTAGGGTTTTGGATCAGAGATGGCCGATGGATACTGGAGGTACGCCGCTGACCCTAGGTACCAAGCGGCGGTTGCGCCTCCTCCGGCGTCCGGCGGCGGCTGCTGCAGCGGCTCCATTGAAGCGTCCTCGCTCAGATTATCCAGGTATCGCTCCTCTCGATCTCTCCTAGGGTTTGGAATTAGGTCTCCTTTTGTTTGTCATCTTCATTAGTAAGGTTAGGGTTTGTTATTGGTGGTTGGCTTCAGATCTTTTTGCGGAAGACATTCTAATTGATTAGTCAATTCTCTAATTTTTTGTAAATCTCGGTTTCAGTTGTTCAGTGGACACGGCTGTAGTTATTTGTGGGCAAAGGTGGGCTGAATTGCTTTTGGTCGTTTAGAATTGGGAGGGGGGCGTTTGATTGTTAGCATTAATAGATGTTGGTATATTGTAGTTAATGATGCTAAGGGACAGAAGTCATCAGTAATTAGGTTGAAAGTTTGCCTGTAGAAATTGAAAATTCTTGGTAACTTATAGTATCCTGGTCTATACTGTTGAAATTATGAAAATTATTCAGCACGGACAGGAAAAAGCTAGTTCACTGTAACACAAGTGCATCCATGGTGTAAGAGCATTGATAAATGTGATGATTTTTATTCATTTCTCTAAGATGGCCCCACTTTTATGGTGATATGATCAAAACCTGAACTTTAAAGCTTTTACAAATCGCATACTAATTAGTTTAGTGTTTTTTTATTGCCATCGAATTAAGCAACTTAATGTTATCAAGTACATGGATGTTACAAAGAACATGTTTTGACTGCTCAATGTGTTGTGGAAATTTGTTGATTTTACAAGCTGTATAATTGCCTTCTGGATTCAACTTTTGAGATGCATGGAAAGTTATTTTGGTTGTTGAGAAATATCTAGTGAACTTTGCTAGAAAGTTAATAGTATGATCATTATCTGCAATTACTGATAAGCTGGAAACTTTTGCCTCCTTTTAGATGGCATTTGAGATTCAGTCTTTTTTTTCCTTTGGCTGGTAATATTTGCTGATTGGATGTGCTGTAGGCATTAGACACCATAGCAACTTAAATTTCTCTGGAGCTCTATTAATGAATTTATGTTGATTCCTTCTAATTCTGACCTTTCTGTGTTGGAGATGCACCTGCTGGTTCAGAGATGCTTGCATACTATCCTCGCACCGAAGAGAGGGCGGGGCACAGTTCCATCAGAGACACTGAGACCATAAATGCATCATATGATCGTTATTTAAGGAATGGGGTATGTTTCTAGTTCTTTCAGGTTCATTGGGAGCATATGTGATGCATATAAGAGGGATAATCTTTGAGTGCTATGTTCTTGTAGGTTTCTTCTTTTGCTGCTTCTGATCCTGTTAGGCCTTTACCTGGAGGAATGCCTGCTCCTGTTCGTCCAGGTGATGACCCACGGCTGGTGGCTATTCCAGGCATGGACGGGTCTTCCTGCAAATTGCACACGCAGGGAGGTTTCTCGTATCCTTTAAACCATTGGTTTAAGATTATATTGTTAAATATGAATCACTCTCTTTTAGATTATATTGTTAAATATAAATCACTCTCTTTTTCTGTAGTCCCTTAACCTTTTCTGTAGACATTTTCCGACCTTTTGTGGGATTCCGAGAGGTTAGACTTGTGAACAAGGAATCTAGACATGTAAGTACTGATTTTTATAAATGGGATTAGCATATAGTTTAAATTAGTTCTATTGCTTTCAGCTTTAGCTGAAGCTACTGTCTTTTTAATTCCTCTTTAGGCTGGAGGAGACCCACTTGTGCTTTGCTTTGTTGATTTTGCAACCGCGAACCAAGCTGCAGTTGCTTTGGAAGCTTTACAAGGTAAAATTTCACGTACATGTGCATATTGCATTTCTGAAATTCCATCTACTTACACACCTTGCCTATGTCTGCTTACATTTCATGCATTGAGTTTTATCCGCCATGCTGTCATTTTATCCATCTTGGTTCTGATTGTTTTTCAATAAAAAATAATATAAATTAATGGATTAGTTGCATATAACATCCTTATTTTATAAATTATACACTCAACATATGTACCTCCTCATTTGGTTTATTAGCATTCAACAGCCCCTTGGATAAGCTTAAATGATGGCGTGCAACTTACAATTTTTTATAGGTGTCTGACCCTGGGGGTATCTGTCTTATGAACCACTTGAGGGTTTAGAAGAACGGTTTTATAATTTATATGCATAATCTTATAATAATGCAAGTAGTGCAGTTCCAGATGATCCCATTTACTTTTCTATTTTTAAGACTGTGTCTGGCATGTTTTATTAATTTGAAAGTCCTGATCAAGTGAAGCTAGTATATAAGACTTCTTTCTGGTACTTCTATCTTCATTTATTTGTGTAATATAAACAAAGTGGAAGTTTCATGGGAGCTTGTATTGATCTTCTGCTTTATTTTCTAATTAAAACATGACTTGTTTCAATGGAGTGTTGGGATCTTTATCCCAATTGTCATGTCTTCTAGATGTTTCTTTCAGGCTAAGTTTCTAAAGCAGTGGGCTGTCAAGATTTTTAGCTTTGACCTTTGCCTTGCAAAACCTGGATCCGAACATTCCGCAGCTTACCTGATTAGGGTTTCCTATTAAGTCTAAATGAAATTCAAGCGCAGGTCCAACCTGCTCGTCCTATCATCAGACTGGTCGGACTTCTATTGTGGAACCTGATTTTTTATTCGACGTCCAGCTAATCCCAATGTCAATGGACTCCAGCTGAAACCATCTAATCTTGTGTATACTTAGCTATTATGAATATGGGGGTAAAGAATCCCAAATCTAGCCCTTCTCCCTACTTTGGCGTAAATGAGCGCCAAATGATCTTTTTTTCCACAACCCATTATGTCTATATTCATTTATCTTTCCTATAAAATTGTTAAGATAAATCTCTGTTTCTGGATAATGCGTGAACACAAGGGGGAAAAAATCCAAATTCCTCAAATGCAATAGCCATAACCTCTCACATTTGAACAGTCGAGAAATATTCTGTTCTGATTTTACTGTCGGTTCCCCTTTTTCTTATCTCCTATCATCCTTCGAGGCATCACGATGTTAGCACATCTGGCTCATAAAGGTATTTTATTGGTCTTGAAGGGCTGTTGAGGTGATTGAGGATTTCTGGTTGGAATTAAGAGAAGAGAAATGGAACATCAAGTTCACCTTTCTTTCTCTTCCTACACCTGTAGCTCGAGAGAGAAGGATCACCTGAGAATAAGGGAGTTAGAATGGGGAAGAGCTGCAATTGGCATTTATGATTACCCAGTCCAATCAAGAACAAAACATAGATGTCTACCTATCTCATGTAACTTGAGATACTTGGGAGACTTCCAAATTGAGTGACTAAGATCAAAACTAGAATACTTTCGAGATCAATGTCAAAAACTTCTCCAAGACAAAATTCTAGTATGTGATTTGGCTAACTCATTGGTTGAAATTCTACTATACAGACATATCACGAATAAAGATAATATTAGTGACTGCAATTAGCAATTTAAAATAATTACTAACTACATAAATGAACATTTAGAACAATACAAAAAGATATATTTAACACAGATCAATGGTAGATCTTGTTAGTACATAAAAGCTAGTTGTAGGTTGGTTGCCAACATCCTCAAATAGATATTTGCCTGTAATAACGGTGGTATACTGGATTTAAGGTTCAGTATTTGCAGGATGACAAGCAAGAGCTTATTGCAACTGGGACGAATTAGCTATCTTTGGTATCATCAGTAACAATCTATTGTAATCATGGGTGAAATTTTATTTGAGAGTCTCGGAGTCCACCAGTGTACCATGAGCTTTGCTTTCTTCAAGGCAAATCTCCATGGACAAATCCAACCAGTTTAATATTTATGCTTCTTCTAAAGCAAGGGATTGCTAATTTGCGATCCCATGCTATACTATTTTGAGGAATGCAATCAATATAGATTAGTGGGACAGGTTATAAATTTATCCTCAATAATTCATCAGATGAGTTAAAAAAAAATTTCTTATCAGCGAGAAGTTGAGAAGGGATTAAATAAGAAACTGTGCAGTGAAGTTTTGAGTACGTGATAGGAATATACAATTAGCATATGCATAAAAATTGTTGCAGCTTGAGTAATACACGTGGTTTAACCTGATCCCACAAAATTGCAGATATATAATTTACTTGGGCCTAAGAAAAGATATGGCGTTCCATCAAAAAAGGAAAAAAGGAAAAAAAACAAAGTGCTTGCAGTAGTGCGGCTAGTGCCATTAAATGTAGCTTAGCATGCTACACGATATTACGTTATTCAGTTTGCCCATACATACACCTGTAGATCCCCATTAGTGTAGTCGTACGCATCGTAAAATAGCAGCGGTTCGATTTTGCAGGTTATAAGTTCGATGAACATGAACGAGACTCAGCCAACTTGCGGCTGCAATTTGCTCGCTTTCCAGGTCCGAGGTCATCTGGTGGACCTCGTGGTAGACGCTGAATCTTTGGGTGGTTTTTCACGTCAGGTGACAGTTACGAAATATTTACTACGATAATATCGCTACGTACTCATAACAAAATTATACTGAAATTATCCGATGGGCGCTTCTTGTAGGTCTGGTTGAATCGTGGAGGTTTCTGTGAGCAAAAGAACTTACTCAAGTAGGTTGCGCGTGGTGGCTTTTCTAATTTGATTAGTGATCTGGGAGCAGTGCGAAATAGGCTTTAGATTGTTAGATATTACAGCCTATCATCTATGTTATCCGTCATCGTAAAACTATCTGGTTGTTTTACCCTTTGTTACCTAAAACAGACTTATAGTACTTAAACTTCAGTCTTTCTATGTGGTGTAAGATCTAAAAACATCAGTTGGTATTTATTTGAGACTTGTTAAACTTTCAGTTTTGCTGTATCTTCGTGGTTTTCTTCCTTGTATGATTAAGTGCTGCTGGAGTATACCCATTAATTGATAACTTACCCTGATGAGGGCTATTGTGATCCTGGTCATTTAAGTTGATGAATGGGCCCTGGAGTATATTCTGAAAATGCACCATTTGATCTCCTGGTTGGGAAAGCAATGCTGAAAAAAGTAGTTTGATGCTTGAACGGGGATTATATGTCTACTATGTCGAGAAGAATTTGTTACTTAAGCACCTGACTTTCTTAATAGAAGGGTGGCAAACCATTTTTTGGGGTTTTGCTTGCGTCAGGCTGCGAAACTATGAGAGGTTCTCAATGTTTCAATGTGAAAGATACTCAGATGGTCCGATTTTGTTCTGCCTCACATGAGAAACTTTGCTGTTTTAGATTCGCTTATTGGTATTTGGTTGGTGGTTGTTTCTTGTCTTGTTATCATTCGTTCTTTATCGTGTCTTTTGGATGTGTGTTGGTGCAGCTAGTAAGCTTTTTACATGTTTCTTAGGATGAATAGAGTTTGATTTTGTTTTCTATTACTTCGTTAACTGCTGACAAAACTAGATCTGTAGATTGATGAGGATCATGCTTCAACTTGAGTGGAGCTTGAGTCACGAACAAGCCCAGTTATACACCAAAAGTTTGCTTGTGTTCCTTTGCAATGCAACTGTGGTAGTTTTCGTGTTCTCTTTTGGGAATTAGATACTATCAACGTAATGGAGTTCATATTCTTTTTAAATTAGACATTCAATTAAATTGGATATTACATTGTATATCTGTTAGAAGCTCAATGATTTGGTAAGTAGGTATCTTGTATTTTGACGTGCGAAGAACCCAACCATACAACCAAGATTTGCAGGAATGACGTAGCTCTATAGAGCTCGATGAAATCCAGCTTAACCTTGATCAGCTTAGGTAACAGCATGTGTAGTTGCTGTGTTCTATTATATGATATGATGCTGAATTTACAACTCATATTACAGTTTGGGCAAAATAGTTAGTTTTGGTAAAATAGTTAGTTAATACCTAAATAGGAAATTACGATAGAGGACCCCTTGAGCAAGTGAAAAAAATCGACTTCTTCTGTTGGGAGTATTTGTATGCGATGTATTTTTTGGTTATTGATGGTCTAGGTAACATCAAGTTCTCTCATGGATACATTTGGTTGTTAAACAACTTTATGGTGGTTCCACTGTTACTTTAAGGTTATTTAGAAATCAAATGCTAAATTTTGAAACTAGCTTTACCTTTCCTTGTTATTTTGCTGTTTGCCCTTGTTAAATTTCATGGAATGCGCCATCTGCAAAACATCTGACATTTAAAGGACATTTAAGGACAATTTTTTCTATTTCATAAAAAAAGGATAATTATTCTAGAAATTGTCATGCACAAGTCAAATGACATGTCCATTAACAACTAGAAAACAGAAGGTATTTATTGACTGAAATTTTCTAGAGAAAGCTGATGATTTAGAATGCTCATGGTAGTTAGTCAAAAGGAGTAGAGTTCATGATGAGTATTTGTAATTCTGCGACAAATCAAAAGGACAAGCCTACATTCTGCAAAATATAGATCTAATAATCTGCACAGCCTAAGGGCTAGTACTAGTTTGTTCTTATCTTGATTTTTTGGATAATCCTGTCATCCTGAATACTACGCTTATTCAGAAATAAAAGCACTGTGTTTTTGAAGTCTGGAGCATTTGGAGACGGTAGTGACTTTTTATTTTGTAACATTACTTCAGCAAATTTTTTTTTATTTGTCAAATTCAAATGGGGTATATCAAAATGGTGACTCTGTGAATTTTTCTTAAACCAAGTAGCTTCAGAGAAACTTAAACTGGCTGGTTGCATAAAACATCCTATAGATATGAACTTCCCTAAAATTATGGCCCTTCTTGCTTACTCCTCCATCTGCCCGCACATAAAGGCGGGGGGGGGGGGGGGGGGTACATTTCGTATAACTAACTCCATAGTTATAGTGTCAGGGGAGAGTATTCCACAGTGAACGAGAGGGAAGAATGAGCTAAATTAGTTATGAATCTTGTCTTCAATTAAAAATTATGATTCTTGGGCCTAATTAATAATTTGACTTCAACTATAATATTTAGAAGCAAAAGAGTTTTTGTCTTTTACATTTGTGTAGGGTAAAGAAAAATCCTTAGTTTAGTCCAAACTCTTGTTTTATATGGAGACAGTAACAAGGTAAATTAATGAGAACTTCAGTTAGGACTTATATTAATTAGATGTTTTATAAATAACTTCTTCAATTTATGACGCAAAATTAGATTCATAGATCAACCATATAGAAATTTAAATGATCTAACTGTAAATTTGCTTGTGGTAATGACACAGAAGTTTTTGAATTAGTTGGGAATCCTTATTGGTTTGTTGAGATTGCATCTGGGGTTGTTTAAAATATTTGCATATACATTCACATGCCAAAAAATTGTGTAATAGATGTAGTAAATTTACAAGTAGAAGTATCACGTCTCATAGAATGGCAATGTTTTTTAATAAAAAAGAAGGAAAAAAAAGTAGTTCACATATTCCTAGGGGAGGATGTTAGTTTGGGTTGAAAGAAATGAGATTTGGGAAAAGCAGGAAAGCAGTTAAGTTAGATTTAGGAAAAGCAGTGAATATTTGCCAAGGCAGCAAACTATATTTTCTTATGCCAGTCAAGACATTTTTTTCCCTTGCTTTTGACCCATTGTTTTTGGAATTATAATAGAGGATGAATAAATATTGTATTAAACTGATTTCCTTGGAGATTTCTAAGTTAATAGAGAAATTTTTATAAAGACCCTATCTAAATTGTAACAAAAAAAAGTATAGTTGGAGTATGTCCATTCAAATTCCCTTCTAAAATGTGGCATAAATTAATTACTTTTAATGCTGATCGACTTTAATGCCTCTCTATAGAAACCTGAGGGTCCAAAACGTATCCTTTTGTTCCAGCGTCAAGTGTCCTAATTTCACAATCTAACATGGACATGTTACGTGGTAGCATTTTATTTTTATTGCCAATGATGAGGTTCTCACTCTCTTCAAGAAAATTGAACTTACACATTCACATTTCCCCCATGTTTGCACTTTAGGGCATGGACATATATTTTGTGTATTTTACTCTCTTCACTCCCTGTAGAGGGAGATGATCAATAATGGTGTTGGTATATTTGTGCTGGACTAACTAATGCACCTCAGTTAACTAAAATTTTGGATATTTAAGCTTTTCCTTCATGTTTTCATTGTGAACATGATATTCAGTTAAGTTAAGGAGTATATATTTGACAGGAAGACAATTCAGTATATTAGACGTGAAGACAATTCAGTAAGTTCCCCTCTAGGATCTTACTGACAACTTGAGCATCATAGTAATGAGTTCATTATTTCGTTAACGGTCTTTAGTCCGCATCGATGTGCAGCTTTGCATTTTATCATCTATGCTGCGATGTATTCATTCTTTGGTTCTCTAATTGGACGATGCATCATTGTATGACTGAATCAGTTGTATCTGAAGCAGCTTATCAGGAAACATCATAACCATTTTATGATTTATATCAATTGTATCTGAACCAGATCATCAGGAAACTTTGTGATTGGAGTTGGTATTCAAAATTTGCAGCAAGCCGATACAGCTACACATCTATTTCCTTCCTACGGTTGCATATTCCGCAGCATCTGAACATCATTTTACGATGTGCATGTGATGAGCTGATAGCACGTCAATGGCCCGGGAAACAAAGGCAGGTAGTCCGCAGTGGTAAGTAGTCTGTGGTACCTTAATTCTTTTTCCTTGTTTCAAATATCTAAAGAGAAGATTTGACTGTAGGTAGATACAAAATTACAAAGTGAAGCCGCAGGATCCCTGAAACGAAGTTTATGAGCCGATAAGCTCTTGCAGTGTGATCGACGTGTACAAGGAGGAAGTCCCTTTTGTATGTAGATGGCTTGTTATTTCACGTTTGACTGTAAATTTCTTTCGCAAAATTTCACACGCTGAATCTGTATCGGACCACATGTTGTTTGTTTCAGGTCCTTGTTTCTCTCGTGATGCTTGTAAGGTGCCATGGAAGAGCTCTGGAGATGGTGAACTAGGAGACTCCTACTTTTTTTGTATTTTATTTTGTTTTCATGTTTGCCTCTGGAAGTCTGTAGATTTTCATCCGTGGGTGATGAAGAGCTTTGGTATTGTATAAGATGCCCTTGCGAAAAATTTGTGTTGTGGTTCTACTCTGTTGGGCGTGACATATTTGCAAATGGTTAACTAGATACTTCACATGTGCTCTGCTTGCTGAGTAACCAAACCTGAGACGTTTATTTTTCCTGATTATTACCGGACGAGTATTGGAGCACAAGCGAGTACAACTTAAATGTAGTTAGTTTTTTTTATTAAAAAAAAAGAATATATACTATAATTTCGGGTTAATACGAGCACGTCTGTGTACTCCATTGTGCTTGGGGAACTTGGGGGCGCATCGGTCATAAAGATGGTCAAATTTGACTGGTGTAATAAGTCCTTAAAATTTATGCTACTATTGAATCTCATAATCTTCCTTCCTTCTAGTGGATAAGGTGTTACGCTCCGGGCCTACGAGCCTCTTGGTGCGATATAAGGTGTGGAACTTACTGAGTATATAAGGTGTGGAACTCATTGAGTATAACGTGTTGTTTGGCTTAAATTGCTATTAAAATTGATTAGCCGCTGATACACTTCAGTTTTAGGCTATCCATATAAACCACACAAATATTCACTCGTCCATCAAGGTGGGGCTGATGTGAGTGGGATGTTACAATCACCAGATATGTGACGTCCTCGTCATAGTATGACAATTAGCACTATTGGCGCATCCTAGTATCGCTGTTAGTTGACGTGGACTTTAGAGGTAGCTCTGACAGACTCTAGAGATGACTCCTACCATATGAGCGTAATGTATCACTTAACCCCGCATAGCAGTTAGCTTCATGCTTCTGATAGGTAAACTGTTCCGATGAGCTCACAAGCCTCTTGGTGCAATGTAAGCCATGAGACTTACTGAGTATATCCCGTTGTTTGGTTCAAATCTCTGTCAAAATTGATAAACCGCTAATACACTTCAGTTTTAGGCTTATCTATATACATCACACAAATATTCGCTCACCCATCAACGTGGGACCGATGCGAGTTATGTCACGTAAAGTGCCCTAGGCTCCTAATAATCTAACTTAAATTTTATGCGCATACTGCATAGTTCATGTGTAGGTGATCTTCATGAAAGTTTTAACGTTCAGAACAAACATTAAACTTATTCCTACAAAACTACCAATTGGGATGCATAGGTTAATGTCACGCCCCGGTTCCAAAGTGTAATAACTTGGAATGTGACTCGGCCGATAATGCAACTATTCGACTACATTCACGCCTCTAGATCATCATGTATATAGATATAAAGCCAAAACTACACCATAGAGCATGTAACTAAGATAATAAAAGAAATGTATAGATGAAGAAATCTCCAAAAGGACGGAGTCCAAATACGAGTTCACAACTATAGAGTAATAAAAAATTTACATCATAGTCTAGAAAAAAGTCACATGTGACTCGAGAAAAAGTCTAAACCAAATAACTATTTAAACCAACTGAACTGGAGAACTGATAGGATAAACAGTGATCACTGCCGCTGAGTCTGCTCCTTGAAATACTCTCGGTCCTGCGAAGAAAGAACAGTCCCCGAGTCTAGGGAACGCAACCCTAGGGGAGTCAGAAAACTCCCAGCAAGCATGAAAAATAAAGAAATATTAAGGATAAGTCTATCACAAAACATACAAGCACATTATTATTATTTTACATGTTACTTGATTAGAGGAGAATAGTATCATGTATATAAATCGAGTTCCTGTAAATCGTCCCGAAAACACGGCTTCAAGTCAAGTATTGGCCCTTGGCCTTATATATAATTCAGGATATCAAGAATGCGCATAAGCCTGCTTATATACACGTTATATTCTCAGTCCAATCCTCCTTTATAAAACCCACATTTATCTGTTGATTTTAAGTGGTTGTGCATGAAATATTATTCACTAACCACAGAGTTTTTGTGGAACGACTTCCGTAAAATTATGAAAAATAACGGTGACCATAACATGCCCAATCAAGATGGATGCATCATCTAATTGATGCTATTATATAATAATAATAATCAGGCGGAAACTTCTCACACCGGGATATTGATGTTGAGGGTATAGCCATGCTATGATAGCACATTTATGAATCATATTTTGACGGAAGTCGTCTTCATGCACAACCGACCCTATTAAATGTCACTAGGTGATTAAATATGGCATCAGGTATTCATCATCAAATGACATATCTTTACTTATTAAATAGGAAAAGATAAATAGTTAACATAATTATCTAGTGTCAGATAAAGTCAACTAGTTTGGTTTAATGGCTTAAAGAATTGACAAGTTTGATTTTAGTGAGCAAAGGGCCCAAATGGATTTGAAAATTGAGTCATAAATCAGAACGGGTCTAAAATTTGATATTGGATCCTAATTGGGTTAAACGAGTTTGTAATTTTAATTATAAATCCAAACGGATCTGAAATCTGTTATTGGATCCTAATTGGGTCGGGTTTGAGCTAACAACAGACCCAAATAGCTTTTTTTTTAAATAAATGACAAATGATTCGAACCCAAGAGCTAATAACCAAGCCCCTTAACCATTACCCAAGGATCCTCTGTTTTAGGACTAATGCAAGAATTGTTTACATATAGTCTCAATTAACTATGATTCTAGCGAATAAAAAGATAAGTAAAAGGATTTATAAAACTTAAATACTCTATTGTGGCCGAATAATAATAATAATAATAATAATAACAAGTTTATTACCCGAAAATAAAATTTAACAGAAAAGCATAACATAATACATCTATATTTTCACAAGCTATGAAAGGATTGATGAAGATGAAACTTTTTGAAAAGAATATTGAAAGGGAAAAAAAGGAAAATATGGTTGCTGATTTGTGTTTAAAAAGAACTCCAAACAAAGATCCTTCACTCGCCTCCTAAGATGCAGTCATTGTCCCTCTTTTCTTCTCTTTTTTTTTTTAATTTTTGTGAGGTTTTCAGATGGTAAAAAAAAGAAAAATGTTTAAAGGATGTGAAGGATTTTGTTGTTGAGATTTCAAATTTAATTTTTATGAAATGTGGTATCATGGCAAAAAGAAAAAAAAAATCAGTTTTCTTATCCACTCTCTCTCTCTCTCTCTCTCTCTCTTGGAAAAGAAACCAAAGATATCATAGAGAAAATAGGTGTTGATGGGTTTAAACTTGTTCATGGGCTTTGGTTGCACACAACTTCTAGTATACTAGGCTATAAGACGAATTGAGCCTTGGAAAAAATAAAATTCAAAAGTCAGTTGGGCCTCGAACAAAACTTGCCATAAGAAATGTGATTGTGGACTTACATAGGCTTGGGTTTTACACTTGAAAAATGGCACTTAAAAAACAAGGCTTAAATCAAATAGACCAAAGAATCTTATTGGGGTTTCTCATCTTTGACCAATCATCCCCAGCTTAGCGGCGTTACCTTTTTGGCTTTCTTTCCTTTTTAGGTATTAATGATTTGATATTTAATGTACACAGCGACACTACGCAGTATATACTACAGTGGCCTTTGCTATGCGTCACTGTATCTGGCCACGTTCGCGGTCGGATCCACTTGATTCGGAATCTTAAAATGTCGACGTCAGCAGTTTGATTCACTTGATTCAGAATCCCTCTCCATGTTTCTTTCCCTCAAGAGTGACGACGATCGATGTGACCACCCATTATTGGCTACAACGAGACAAGCTGGGCCCCCCATTCCCATTTCAAGCACCCGCTATCAGATCCAAACGAAAGAACCCATCCCGTGGGACCCACATGTCAGTTGCTGCGTGCGACTGCTGGGTGAACTTGCGCTGCCATTCAGTTCGTACGTAAAGTAGATCGAAGGCAGCTACTACCTTCCTAAAACACGCAATTAGTCACTTGAATCTTTTTGTTTTCACCTTAGCCCCTCAAACAATTAAAATTGCGCTCGCTTGCCCAGATTCTTTTATTTTTTGGGGTAAACGCCCCCTAGTTCTTATACCTGCTCGGGAATAATTTCGAAATATACAGATGCGAGGGACTAATATATAAAGAGTAAAAAAAAAAAAACAATTTCATAATTTAAATTCATCAATACGCATACATCAACCATATTTCCTTGACCTCCTCTCTTCCGGGAGAATCAAACCAAAAGTATCCCAAGCTAATTCCTACCAAAAAGTTAACCAAAAACAAGCAAAAAAGAAAGGAAAAAAAAATGGAGAATCCTAAAGAAGAAGAAGAAATCACAACTCCACTCCGTAAGTTTCCGACTCCTCTATTTTTCTTATTTTTAAGCTGTTTTTTTTTGAGGGGGACAATATTTCAATATCTAATAACCTTTTTCTCCAGTTAATGAGATGCCGTCGGCTTCTTCCTCCTCCGAAGAAAATTCACCGATCGAGCAGGTCGCCTTAACAGTTCCGACCAGCGACGACCCGTCAATCCCGGTCCTCACGTTCCGCATGTGGGTCCTGGGAACTGCCTCGTGCGCGCTGCTCTCTTTCCTGAACCAGTTCTTTCGCCGTGGTGCCTCTCGGCCATCTGATGGCGTCGACGATCACTGATCGGGCCTTCTTCAAAGGGAGGAGGTGGGAGTTCACGTTGAATCCGGGCCCCTTCAATATGAAGGAGCACGTGCTTATTACTATTTTTGCTAATTCTGGAGCTGGGACTGTTTACGCGATTCATATCGTGACGGCAGTGAAGGTTTTTTACGGGAAGAATTTGACCTTCTTTGTTTCTCTCGTAGTCATTCTCACAACTCAGGTTAGTTTTTTTTTTTACTCTTTTTCTCACTTTCCGACTTCTTTTTATCATGGTTACACGTCATATTCTACGATGTGTTGTTAACGTGACACAAATATCGTCCACTCAATTTTATAATAACAATATTGAAAGTTATCATATTGAAATAATCATTTCAACTGTAATTATCAAAATTCACTGAGTAAATAAGAACCCATTCTCCCTCCATGGTCACTACAGCCAACATCATTTAAAAAAAAAATAAAAAAAAAATCCAGATTGCTATTTATTACTTAGACGTATGACACACCAGCCAACATCACGAGAGGGACAACTAAACCCCATATACTCAAATTTTGAATAAAATAATTAGGTACAAGTTCATTAGTTAAGAAACACAAACAACTTACTTAATTTCATACTTAATTTTGATCGAGTGAAAAATAAAATCTAATTTATCTCATTTGGGGATGGAGTAGGTGCTGGGGTTTGGATGGGCAGGAATATTCCGGCGTTATTTGGTGGAGCCGGCGGCGATGTGGTGGCCGTATAACCTTGTTCAAGTGTCTCTATTCAGGTAAGAATCTAAGCCACCTATTTCACATGGCATTTATAAATTATAGACGTGTACGTTTTCGCTTTTGTGTGGGTGACGCTGTTGGTGGGGACCACTAGTTAGTCTCCTTTTCCTTGGAAAGGGACAGTTAACAGCAACCAATTGCTATTATTTTTGATAGAGCTTTGCTACAGTGACCCAAAATATGGAACCAATAGAGGGGACAAGTGAGGTGTCTCCCTCCTATTGGATAATAAGTTAGCCATCATTAATGATGGCCAACTCATTATCCAATAGGAGGGAGACACCTCACTTGTCACCTCTATTGGTGCTATATTTTGGGTACTTGAGGAATTTTTCTTTTTGATAAATTGATGACTAAGCAGATATTAATCTTTTAGATATTAATTAGAGTGGATTAAACTTGGCCTTAATTATAGATGTTTCAGTTGTCAGAGTCTATGAATTTTTGGGAGAGTTGTTTACGTTTTAGAGTTAATAAACGTTTTAGAGTTAATAAGTTGCTTGCATGTATGGACAACCGTGATAGATACATATAAATTAGGGTTGGGATTTGGATTGTCCACCCAATATTATCTCAATGAATTCATTCCTAAATACATGTAAATATTATTTCAGCCTTCTTTAATCGCAATTATTTTCACATTTTTTATTGAAGAATAATCATAAATATTACCTTAGAAACTACATGATTACCTTAGAAACTACATGATTATCACTATGATGAGCCGGAGTCAGCTTGCGTTTGAATAGAGAAGTGAATTGGATTCGGATCCTCTCCACTATCTAAATGATAGTGAAGGGACCAGTACATAATCACAACCATTAATTATCACAACCATTGATTATCTAGTTGGTGATTGTAATTTTTTTAGTGCAAACTAGGAATAGGTGCAATACACGGGGGTATGATGAGTGTTAGATTTAGATTGTATCATAACCGTTTGCTAAGTAATCAACGATTGAGATTAAAAATAGTGGTCTCTACGCTATTTTTTTGTAACAGAGAGGATCCAAATCCAAGTGAATTTGGTCACGTGCGTGGGGTCCACAGTGAGTGCACCGTGAGGGAGGGAGTCGGGCGACGTTATTGTCCGCTGAGCCACAAGCGTGTGGGACTCGCGCACGTGTGGCTATCATTGCTGTTTTCAGTAACTACTGCGTAGAGTTTGATTATATTCGGTCCGGTCGGAATATTGCGGCTAATACGGGTTCAAATCTTATTAACCCGATCTGAACCGAATAGATAGCAAAACCGCACCGAACCGTCCAAAGCTTCGCTCGTAATTACTGGATGCATAATATGAGTATATACGGATGTAGTTGATGTAGTTGTCGTGTGTCGCACGTGGCTAGGCCATGATGGAAAAAAAAAAAAGAAATCGGAGAATCACCTATATTAGATATAAATCATATAATCATAGATGAAGAATAAAAATTATGTGTCTTAATATCAATTTTAAAATTTAATTTCATATAATATCAATCGTGATTATTTTAAAAAAACTTGATACAAGTTGGATCACTTACCAACTGGATAACATCTAGATGCAAGTCAAACCTACTTAGGGTTGGTTCGAGTCAATTAGACACAAATCCATCAAGCAAGCACATGTATAAAACTTGGAGGCAAAGTGAAGTGGCACACAAACCGACACGATGATAGCCAAAGATGAAAACGTAGAGATTCATTAATCAAGTAAAGAATAATCATCACTCATACACGACATCCAACGCGATAGAATAGAAATGAAGTAAGGATTCTATCAAAACATTCCATATGGTTCAATATCATTTACCAATGGTTAGAAAATTAGTTTAAAAATTGTGACTATTCTATCAATGGTGCAAAGCACCCCCGCTCTTATAAGGACGGTTTTGTTAGGATTCCTCATGCTTTGAAGATCGACAACCTTAATTCTGGGATGAACGTATGTAATTCTATCAAATTTCATAGTAGAAACAGTGAGATGAATGGATAAACCAGCTGTCAATATTAATTATTTGTTTTTCCAATTAAGTCCATCAAATGCGTGACTTGCTTTGAAAAAAGAATATGCAAAATTTTATGAAAATCCAAATTCTAAACGCTAAAATCTTCTCATCTTTCATGCAGAGCACTCCACGAGAAAGAAGCACGACAGCCAAACGCCCTAACCCGGAACCAATTCTTCCTCATCGCCTTCATCTGCAGCTTTGCATACTACGTTTTCCCCGGCTACATTTTCCAGCTGCTGACCTCTCTCTCCTGGATATGCTTTCTCTTCCCTCGCTCCGTCGTCGCCCAACAACTCGGGTCCGGCCTCTACGGCCTTGGCATCGGTGCCATCGGTCTAGACTGGTCTTCAATCTCCTCCTACCTTGGCAGTCCCCTCGCCAGCCCTTGGTTCGCCACCGCAAATTTGGCTGCAGGCTTTTTCCTTGTTATGTATGTGATAACCCCGATTGCTTATTGGTTTGATTTCTACCGAGCTAAAAACTTCCCGATATTTTCGGACGGATTGTTTACGGCTGAAGGGCAGAGGTATAACATATCAGGTATAGTGGATTCGAGTTTTCATTTTGACGAGAAGGCTTACGAGAAGAACGGGCCTTTGTATTTGAGCACGTTCTTCGCTGTTACTTACGGTGTTGGATTCGCGTCGCTCACCGCTACAATCACTCATGTTCTCCTGTTCCATGGGAGGTCAGTATGCTGAAATTTCCTGTCCTGTTAACAAATAGGGTTAATTGCAGATATATCTTCTGAATCGTAACGGGAGTAGTCACTTGTTGTATATGCACTGTTTTATTAGCATTTGATACTGATGTTCGACGGAGTTATCTCATTGTTATCACTGCTGGAAACATAACTTTTAGCGACGGAAAAATCCGTCGCTAAAAGTAGAAAATCCGTCGCTAAAACCTTTAGCGACGGAAAATATAAAATTCCGTCGCTAAAATATCGTCCGTATAGTGAGGGTAGCTAACATGTGTTTTAGCGGCGGATATTCCGTCGCTAAATTTTAGCGACGAAACATTAGCGACGGATAATCCGTCGCTATACTTTATTTAAAAAAATTTAAAAAACTTTAGCGACGGATTTCCCGTAGCTAAAATATGTTTTAGCTACGGAAAATCCGTCGCTAATAACTATTAGCGACGGAAAATCCGTCACTAATTACTATTTTTGAAAAAATAAAAAAATAAAAAAAACGAATATTCCGTCGCTATTAACTTTAGCGACGGAAAATCCGTCGTTAATATTATCTGTTTTCCGTCGCTAAAAGTGTATTTAGCGACGGATAATCCGTTGCTAAAAGCTTCCAATATTTTTTAAAAAATAATTTGAAAATTGAAAAAACCTGTACAATAATATAATAAATTTAAAATCCTGTTCAATCAGCAGTATAATATTCATTCTCACGCATATATAACACATAATTTAATTAAAATATCCCAACATAGTAAGCGTTGTTTATACAGTACACACCATGATAAGTATTGTTTATACAACACACTCATTCATTGTTTTCAAAGGTAAAAAAACAAATCAGTCCTCTTGATCATCATCCTCATCACCAGCTCCACCTTGTCTAGAAGTCCCGGCCTGCAATTATAAATCAAACGTTAACAACATGGCATGACATTCAAGTATAGCAATAAGAGAGTATCATGGCATATTCTTATGTATTATACGCACGCACACACAATTTTTACAACAACGCATACACACACCCTAACAACGCATGCACGCATAATTTTTACAACAATACGCGTACACGCACAATTTCTCACCATATGCGCATGTACGCGTACATGCTCATACGTGTACATGCACATACGCGTATACGCACGCACGCACACATACACGCGTGCACGCATGCACGCATGCACCACACTCCACCCCCCCACCCCCTCCCCCTCACCCTACATCACCACCACCACCAAATCCACACTCCTTCCCCTCCCCCACCATGACCAAATCACCCCCCAAGCAATCACATAACCAACCATACGCACGCACGCACCACAACAACACAACCACCCCCACCCTCACCCTATATCTCGAAGGCGTCTATCTTTTTGTAATCAAGACCCAGGGTATCAACAATCTTGTGAGCTTCATAATAAGTTGTGGGGATGCTCTTCTCGCCGCCTGGAATGACTTTCCTGAGCAAGTCTAATAACATCTCGAAATGTGTAACAGCCATCCCACTGAGTGTTTGGATATGAAGAAGCCTCAGCATAAAAGAAAGCCTTGTGAACTCGGTGCAACCCTCGTATAACGGTGACTCGTTTTCTTCAACAAGTCTCATCAATCGGGCTACATCTTGAAACATATCAGTAGTGTTAACATCACTCGAAGACGGCACGGTAAGAATATCTTCCAACATATCAGTTGTGTCAATTGTCGGATTGTCGACATCAGTAAACTCTTCCTCTAATTGCATCACCGGGACGCCTTCACCGTGATGACTCCAAAATACATAAGAGCTATCAAATCCATTGATTGACAGATGGAAACTTACGTCACTCCTAGTGAGCATTTTATCATTCCTACAATTCTTACAAGGACAAAAAATCAACCCGCTGAGTGACCGTAGAGGGTTGGTGTCAGAGTAGGCTAAGAAAGCTTCTATCCCATCCTTGTATCGAGTGTCTAGATGCCTTCGATCACGTGGTATGCCCATGAACGATTTGTCAGGAATTGTCCGCATCTAGAATTTAAAAATTAATGGAAGTGAGCATATCCCTACATATATCATTTTAAGTTATAGGACAAGTGTGTGTGATCGGCTGTCAGAGGAAGGCTTCTATCCCATTAGGTATGTAAACGTAGCGTGTATATGTATTTACGTGTGTTCAAGTGTACTTTTATTTCGTCAAAATTTTGGCAGCACCTACCCGCTGTACTTAATCGGATCCGAATCCTCTACTAATGAGAGGGTTCCTAATATCTCCTAATGAGATCTTGGCATTTGATTTATCAATCAAAGGCCAAGATCTCCTCATGCACAAAAATAGGCGGGAGATGCGGATAAGATATTATCCTTTGAATATGAATAAGCCTCAGCATAAAAGAAAGCCTTGTGAACTCCTTACACCCCTCGTATAATAGTTACGCTAACCCTCAACCTCAACCTCACCATCACCTAACGCTCACCCTCACCCTCACCCTCACCCTGACCTTCACCCTCCCCAAACCCTAACCCTAACCCTAACATTAACCCTCAAACTCACCCTCACACCCACCCTAACCCTAACCCCCACCCTAACCCTAACCCTAACCCGAACCGTAACCCTAACCCTAACCGTAACCCTAACCCTAACCGTAACCCGAACCCTAACCCTCGCCTAACCGTAACCCGAACCCTAACCCTAACCCGAACCCTAACCCTAACCCTAACCCTAACCAAACACTAACCCTAACCCTAAACCTCACCTAACCCTAACCATAACATCTAACCCTAACCCTAACCCCCACCCTCACCTAACCCTCGCCTAACCCTAACCGTCACCGAACCCTAACCCTAACCCTAACCCTAGCCCTAACCCTCGACTAACCCTAACCCTAACCCTAACCCTAACCCTAACCCTAACCCTAACCCTAACCCTAACCCTAACCCTAACCCTAACCCTAACCCTAACCCTCGCCTAATCCTAACCATAACACTAATTAAATTTAACTTTTTTTATATCATAATTTCATCAAAATTAACATTTTTATTACAAGTAAACTAATTTCATCAAAATTAACATTTTTATTACAAGTAAACATAATTTCATAATTTCATCAAAATTAAATTACAAGTAAACTAATTTCATCAAAACCCTAACTCCATCCCTAACCGAACACCCCCCTCAATCTCTCCCTCTCTCTCCCTCTCTCACGTCGGCCGACGCCGGCGGCCGGCGGCAGTTGGTCGGCCCATCAAAACCCTAACTCCATCCCTAACCGAACACCCCCCTCAATCTCTCCCTCTCTCTCCCTCTCTCACGTCGGCCGACGCCGGCGGCCGGCGGCAGTTGGTCGGCCC